CTATGTGCAGGCGTGGGGGGCGGCCTGGATCTCTATGGGGGTTATGGTTAGGTGTGGGGAAGGCCTGGACCTCCATGGGGGTTAAGGTTAGGTGTGGGGAAGCCCAGGACCTCCAGGGGGGCTATGTGCAGGCGTGGGGGGCGGCCTGGATCTCCAGGGGGGCTATGTGCAGGTGTGGGGAAGGCCTGGATCTCCATGGGGGTTAGGGTTAGGTGTGGGGAATGCCTGGACCTCCAGGGGGGCTATGTGCAGGCGTGGGGGCGGCCTGGATCTCCATGGGGGTTAAGGTTAGGTGTGGGGAAGGCCTGGATCCCCATGGGGGTTAAGGTTAGGTGTGGGGAAGGCCTGGATCTCCATGGGGGTTAAGGTTAGGTGTGGGGAGGGCCTGGATCTCCGTAGGGGTTAAGGTTAGGTGTGGGGAGGGCCTGGATCTCCGTAGGGGTTAAGGTTAGGTGTGGGGAGGGCCTGAATCTCCATGGGGGTTAAGGTTAGGTGTGGGGAGGGCCTGGGTCTCCATGGGGGTTAAGGTTAGGTGTGGGGAAGGCCTGGACCTCCAGGGGGGCTATGTGCAGGCGTGGGGGGCGGCCTGGATCTCCATGGGGGTTAAGGTTAGGTGTGGGGAAGGCCTGGACCTCCAGGGGGGCTATGTGCAGGCCTGGGGGGCGGCCTGGATCTCCATGGGGGTTAAGGTTAGGTGTGGGGAAGGCCTGGATCTCCAGGGGGGCTATGTGCAGGCGTGGGGGCGGCCTGGATCTCCATGGGGGTTAAGGTTAGGTGTAGGGAAGGCCTGGATCCCCATGGGGGTTAAGGTTAGGTGTGGGGAAGGCCTGGATCTCCATGGGGGTTAAGGTTAGGTGTGGGGAGGGCCTGGATCTCCGTAGGGGTTATGGTTAGGTGTGGGGAAGCCCAGGACCTCCAGGGGGGCTCTGTGCAGGCTGCTGCCCAACCACGGCGAGGGCCTTTGGGAATATTCCAGAATGAAGGGACATGTTTACTATCTGTGTGAGTGAAGGTAACAGACTGCTCAGAACAGACTTCAGAAATCTAGTGGGTAGTACATCCAGGCTGCACGTGGAGGAGCTCAAACTGGAGATTATCTCTTGGACAGTTTTATCATTTACAGGCCAGAGACCATAGAGAGAGACCCGACTGAGACCAGAGAAAGACGAGAGAGAGAGACCAGACTGAGAGACCCGACTGAGACAAGAGAGACCAGAGAGAGAGACCAGACTTAGAAACCAGAGATAGACCAGAGAGACTAGAGAGAGGCCAGTAAGACCAGAGAAACTTAAAATTTAAATTATCTATCATGTTATACAAGCAGTTGTGTAATGTCGTAAAAGAGCACACAAAAACACCTGGATTGGTATGAATTACATAGTCCCTCCAGCGTGTCCTGGGTCTTCTCCGGGGCCTCCTCTCGGTCGGACGTGCCCGGAACACCTCCCCAGGGAGGCGTCCAGGAGGCATCCGGAACAGATGCCCGAGCCATCTCAACTGGTTCCTCTCGACGTGGAGAAGCAGCGGCTCTACTCCGAGCTCCTCCCATGTGACTGAGCTCCTCAACCTATCTCTAAGGGAGCGCCCAGCCACTCTGCGGAGGAAGCTCATTTTGACCGCTTGTATCCGCGATCTCGTTCTTTCGGTCATTACCATAGGTGAGGGAGGGAACGAAGATTGACCGGTAAATTGAGAGCTTTCCCTTTCGGCTCAGCTCCCTCTTTACCACAACGGTCCGATACAGCTCTGACTGCAGACGCTGCTCCCTCTTCACCACAACGGTCCGATACAGCGACCGCATCACTGCGCACGCTGCACCGATCCGCCTGTCAATCTCACGCTCCATTCTTCCCTCACTCGTGAACAAGACCCTGAGATACTTGAACTCCTCCACTTGAGGGAGGACCTCTCCACCCACCTGGAGAGGGCAAGGCACCTTTTTCCGGTTGAGCACCATGGCCTCGAATTTGGAGCTGATTCTCATCCCAGCCGCTTCACACTCGGCTGCAAACCGTCCCAGTGCATGTTGCAAGTGGTCCCGCCCACAAGAAATTGTGAAAAAAGGCATCGCGCAGCTCCATTCATTTGAACGAGAGACTTCAAAAATTCACAGCAAGTAAACTAGAGTTGACCAAAAAAATTCACCCCCCTCAGCATTGACACACATGTGAAACGGAGCTTTGGGCCAAGATCCAACTTTTGGTTTACGAGAGGTCTGCCAATGCTCTATGTTAGCATTGGCTAATTCTTCTTCTGGATCCACCCCCATCGGCCCGGGGTGGTATTGCAAGCATGTCAGCGCACATCATTTTGGCCACTTTTGAGCTGGGACCCGCCCCCACTATAAAGCCAACAATATGTCAACACAACAGTCTTTCACGGTGGACACTATCAAAGCCAGAATTACACCTGAGGAATGTCTATCCTCAGGTGTGAGAAATGTCTATCTCTTTTTAAATTTGTATTTGAGCTTTGATAAGGACACATGGTGCAGGGAAATGATCCAAGGCTAATAAATAATAATATTAATAATAGTGAGTTCATTCATACAGAGAAACTAGCTTCCTTTAGGGGCAACTTTTTAAAATGTCGGAGTGTGACAGACGTCTTACATTTTTTTTTATTTTCATGCCTTGAGATGAAAAGGTTTGGTCTTTTGTTTACAAATCTTTGGTTGTTTGGATCAGAAATGTCAGTTAAATATATTTTGTAGGAGACAGACACAGTGATTGTTGAGGAGTTAATCCTATCTCTGTGTGAAGGAGAGGTTTCACAGGTTCTTCCTCCCTGCTGCTGTCAGACTGTACAACGAGAATGTATACCGAGAACTGCTGAGTCTGTACAGGTGTTACTGATAATAATTCACTAGTCATTTTACCTGTTGTTATTATGACTGCATTATTACATATCCATCCATCTGGTACTCCTGTCATTCACTAGTCATGATCAGGGTTGCCAGAACTCTCCACATAGAGCTAATCTCACTGGTAAAGTACCATGTGGCACAGAACTATAAAAGGTCTCGTTATGCTTCTCAAATCATTAACGACAAAACAAGGAATACAACTTTGTGAAAAAGGTGTTGGTTATAGATTTGTTGTTGACAAAACTCTTGTCTATTCAGCTGTTATGTCCCAGCTAGATTCCTCTGCATATCTGGCAACCTGAGTCAGGGAGAGTGGGAGAGGCTGCAGTACCACTTTTGGCCAGAGTTTAGCTCAGGGCCTGGTTAGTACTGTGATGGGAGACCTCTGGGAACACCAGGTGTCAAAGTGGGGCGGCTGTGGCTGTAAAGGGCCAACCTGTTGTTGTTGTGCCCTTAGGCACGACACCTCACCCACATTGCCTATATAAGTATTACACATTATTACGATCAATAAATGTATTTGGTTCTTCTATACCTATCGTGGAGTGGACTTTCTGATTATTTTTTACCTGGTTTTATGTTGATATTTAAGCTCTGTCTGTTCACTTGATTTAGTGTTTTAGTGTCATTCTAAATTTGTATTATATTAAAATACCTTTTATTTCCAGTACTGCCTTTAGGTTTCTCTTTTCATTTGACCACGTGGCAATAGGAGGATCTTTGTTTACACCCGCGTGCGCATGCGCCCCTCGCTGGGTGGCGAGAACACACAACGGCCCATACTGAAGCATGGATAACACAGTACTTTTAAAAGATTCAGTGGGCGAATAGCACTGTAGATAAGCACTTTAACACAAGAAGATCAGAGGAGATATAAAGACAATCTAAAAATAAGTATATGAGACCAAACTGAACAAAACCAAAGAGATGAGACTTGGGATGACGAGAGAAAACATTGCTCAGACTCACCTCTGTTTTGGCACCGATCTGCTGAGACTGGGACGCAGGGACATTTATTCTTACTTCATAGAAAATCCGGGACCCTTCACTCAAGAAGGGTCCGTGTGAAAATCCATTTCTCACGTTTTTCACCGTGGTAAAGTGGCCCGGCATTTTGCCACACATTAAAAGCAGGTTGCTCCTTTTTGCTGTTACTTACGGTAAAGGCGGAACAGGAAGCCGCGGGGATGAGCAACCAAAATGCAATGTTTAAAATGAATCATCATTCATGAACGAATGAATGAATGAACAAGTGTGCAGTGAAAGTAGTTGCAAAACTTAAATTTGTTTATGAAGTTTTATCCCCACATCCCCCCAACCCCCTCACCCGCTTCCCGTTCTACGTTTACCGTAGGTACAGCATAAAAGGGCAACCACTTTACCGCGGCCGTTTTTCGCTGTTCTTTTCCGAAAGAATAAAATAAAACTTAATCTGTTCCCAGCGAGCCATACAAACGACCACACAACAAGAATGGACCATTTGATTTAGTAAAACCTCTCTCCAAACGTCTAAAAATAGCTAACTCTCTAGCATCCAGGCAGCTTTCTATGCTGTACTGCCACACGGTCACATGACCGGTGCGGAAAAACTATAAACAACGAGGTCGCTCCAAGATTCTCCTATACCTGACAATAGTACCTTAGCGATGTTACTCTTGCCTCGTCTAGCAGAACCAAACACCTTTTTATCTACTTAGAAGACTAGAGGAGTCTTCCTAAATCATTATCATTATTATTATTACTAATTATCCAAAGCCGACCAAAAAAACCACCATAACTCCAATGTTATTATGAAGAGTGTTTTGAATTTTATTTGTTTAGCGCTTTAACAAAGCATGTGTACAATGAGATCCCCTCAATCCCACAACCAAACATTTGGAGGAGTACATCGGAACAGAAAAGAAAAGTTTAGAATATCTACATCTGCATTTGAAAGCATCACATCATTGCTAAGAAAAGTGAATTTAGGGCGTGAGCCAATTATTAACATTATTGCAACTAAAGACTTTGCGTGTCGTGGTGTCATACGGACATTTCACATTGTAAGTTGAATTACAGAAGTAAATTGACTTTTGAACCACGCTCTCATGGCCCCAGTCTGACCAGTAGAGTTGGTCAGACCAGTCTGGACTCCTCACATGGTGTCTTCGTTTCTGGATTCATGGAACTCTGCCCAGTGAGCGCTGATCCCGGTCAGATACGCGTGATAGGTTCCACTGAGGAAGCGCAGCTCGGCCTGTTCATGCTCTGGATACATGTTGAAGGACTCCCCTGAGGGGTTTCCCATGACCATCAGGGAGCGCCCCCTGCTGGTGACAAACACCAGCGAGTGGATGTAGTGCGAGTACTTCCCCGAGATCTGGACTAAGGCCTCGTCGTCAAACAAAAGGAACTCCTGCATTGTGCCGCTATGTAGGCCCGCACGCTCGGCCCAGATATACCCGTACCTCAACTGGATCCTACAGGTGCAAGCAGAACATACAGGTGAAACCAGAACATACAGGTGCAAGCAGAACATACAGGTGCAAGCAGAACATACAGGTGCAAGCAGAACATACAGGTGAAACCAGAACATACAGGTGAAACTTGGGAAATTGTTCAGAAGCCGCACTTATTTCCTTAATTCATCTTTAAATGCAAAACAACGATTTCTTTCTATGTCTTTCATTCATACAGGCTTATTTCCACTGGCATCACCTGCAGGTGAAAGCCAGATCCCGTCATATCTTTGTAGCTGTGCAAGGCAGGCTGGGTAGTACTGTGATGGGAGACCTCTGGACACACCAGGTGCCACAGCTGGGCGGCTGCGGCTGTAAAGTGTCATGAAAATCTACTCAGAAAGTCCTGTTTGAGGTGGAATCAAACCCAGGACATTCTTGCTGTGAAGCACATGCACTAATCACTGCTGCACTTTGGTTTGAGTTTGAGCTCGGTTACACAGAAGAAGCTTGGGGTAGAGCTGCTACTCCCCCACATTGAGTGGTGCCAGGTCAGGTATACAGTATTCTGTATATCACTTTGTATGTAATGAGCTCTTCATAGAGTAGTGTCACATTGTACTTGTCCGAGTTTAAGCTGTACATTTTTGGTCCCAAGCAAAAAAACTATAAAAGTGAAGACAGCAGTAATAAAAAAAAAGGATTGTAGAAATACTTACGAGGAGATGTAGCTAGACTGACTCCAGACTCGAACTCCAGTGACTCGCTCATCTCCCTCGATCCTGTACGGAGTTCCACTTCCGGATCCCACCAGAGAACTGAAGGAGTAGTTCTGGTCTGAACCACAAGAACACAATCCATACTCATAAACCACCAAATATAAGACATAAGACACAAAATATATAAGACACAAGAGACAAGACGTTCAGCCCATTCATATGACGTGATGTTTTGAGGTTTTCCCTTCCGCAGACCTGACGTCAGCAGCCCCCCGCCCAGAGCAATGTAAACGGCCCAGTCTCGTTCACGCCCCCTTTAGTCCTCCAGGCTACGCCCATTTAGAGGAATATTTGAACAGGAAATGTAATTGACGTAAGTTCCGAGGAGCGGGGGTGAGAACCACTTTAAAGACTCAGAGATTGTTTTTGTTATCGTCACATCCGTTTCATAGTTTAAAGGACAATGTGGCAAATGACGAGGTCCCGAAATCCTTTTCAAACTACATAATAATCTGCACAACTTTTCATACAAAGTACTCCTCTGGTGAGTGGATGATACTTTTCGTCGTCAGCATCTTCCTGTGGACACAAACTTCAACGAAATGCCTCCAAAATCGGGAAAATCGCAGGTTAGCAACCCAGAGGCTAGCAAGGCAAGCATACCTAAGGCTAATCCAGGCTTTCCAGGACATCGTAAAAGAAGTAATTAGGGAAGAAAACGATGGTCTAAGGGAAGAAATAAGCCGAGCAACTGCGCCAATTTATAAAGTGTCAAGAACGTTTTGAGCTAGATACTCGGATGACTGCTACAGAAAAAAAAAACGGCTACTCTGCCGTTAGCAGTGAAGTTACTTCTGTGTTCTTGTTTATTTGAAGGGTTACAAGTTAATAAGTTATTTGTCCGATTAATTTTTTTTTTCTTAATTACATTTGTAAAATAATACTGACTATTGTGATGTGCAATCCATGAGTATTACGGTTTTTACAGTAAAAAAAAAATGTATATTTTAGATATATTTTTCATATTTTTCTTATCCTTATTTCTTTATATTTCTTTAATACTTTACATTAGACACATTTGTACGTTAGACCAGATTTTACTTTAGATATTTTACCTGTGAAAAATTCTGTTCATAGTCCTACCTTCATGTTTTTTACATTTTGTTTATTTTTTTATTCACAGCAATCATCAGGTCTATTTATTATTTTATTTATCTATTCGTTTTATCTCATAGTTCTCCTATTTTTATTTAACTCGCAGCTACCGTCTAGACATTTTTTTATTATTATTTCAGTTTTATTTACTTTTTTTTTTGTTCTCTCCTACTAGAATGAATCATAAATGGATCTCCTGATATTCTGTATATTGTACCTAATTTTTTGTGCGCACTCTTAATTGTGCAGGTTATTTTATTTGCCTTTAAAGAAGGGACTGTGGTTGAGAAGAAGAGGACTCTCAATGGAAGTGAGTCCACTTGGGGCATGTTGTGTTTGTCGATTGGGGACAACACCGGGGATATTAGGGAGGGGGGTGGGGTGCTATGTATGTTTTTTTCAGTTTTGTTTTCACTTTGCACTTTTTTATTCTGTAGTTAATTCTTTCTTTGTATCCGTAGTTGCAGGAATGTCGTATGCCAACTGGAATACTCATTCACTTGAAGGCAACCATGGTTATTCCATCAGATAATTCTCAAGCTGGAGGTAATGGCCGCCATGTTAACTTCATAAATTGGAATGTAAAAGGATTGAACCATCCAATCAAATGCAATAAGGTACTTTCTCATCTGTTACACCTCAAAGTAAACATAGCATTTCTACAAGAAACACACCTCAAAAAGTTATCACAACCAAAACTAAAGAGAAATTGGGTGGGACAAGTTTTCCACTCAAATTTCAACGCAAAGGCGAGAGGCACTGCCATTCTCATTCATAAAAACACTCCTTTTAGGGCTTCCGACACAATATCTGATCCTAATGGTCGTTTCGTAATAGTAACTGGATCTTTGTTTAATATTCCTTTAGTTATGGCTAATTTATATGCCCCTAACTGGGATGATCACAATGTTTTCAAGAACTTTCTTCACTCTTTACCTCAAATTAATACACATTATTTGTTACTCTGTGGTGATATGTACACAGTGATGGACCCAATTCTGGACCGATCGTCTGCAAAACCTCTTCCAGTTTCAAAATCTGCTCGAATTTTACAATCATATCTGAATATGTATGGAGTGGTCGATGTTTGGCGTCATTATAATCCCTCTTTAAAACACTACTAATTTTTCTCACCAGTGCACCAAACATATTCACGCATTGACTATTGTTTTATGGATAAGAAAATGATCTCAAATGTTAAATCTTGTAGATATGAAAGTATAGTTGTGTCTGATCATAGCCCTTTGGTTCTAGAACTTTCCAAATGAAGCCCCTATGTATTCATGGAGACTTGATCCATTGCTATTATCCGATAAGACAAGTGTGGAATATGTTGGTGAACAAATCAATATTTTTCTAGAGTAAAATTTAACCCCTGGTAAGGCATATAGTACTGTTTGGGAAAGTTTAAAAGCATTTCTACGAGGACAGATCATTTCTTTCTGTTCATATAATAAAAAGCAGAAACAAAATCGTATTTCAGAGTTGACAGGACAAATTGCTACATTAGATTCTCAACATTCCATGACACCTACTCCAGAGTTGTATAAACAACATATGGTTTTACAAACTGAATTCAATTTGATAACAACTCAACAGGCTGAACGTTTGATGCAGAAATCTAGAGGTCGATGGTACGAGCATTGGGAGAAGGCTTCAAAACTTCTAGCGCATAAGCTGCGGAAGTCAGAATCCACACAGCTAATATCCGAAATCAGAACCCAAAATGGGCAGGATACTATCAACTCAAAAGTAATCAATGATACGTTCCAAACATTTTATGATACTCTATATCAGTCTGAATCCTTACAATCACAAGAGCTATTCAATACATTTTTTGAAAACTTAGAAATTCCTACCTTAGAGCCAGTTTTAAAAAATAAATTAGAGGAGTCAATATCAATCGAGGAGGTTAAAATATCAATCAGTGCTATGCAAAGTTCAAAATCACCGGGGCCGGATGGTTATCCTGTTGAATTTTTTAAAACTTTTAAAGACACTCTCTCTCCCTTGTTGAGGAATATGTATATAAAGTCCCTCGATAAATCATCCCTGCCACCCACTCTCCGACAAGCTAGCATCAGAATCAGAATTAGAATCTTTTTTATTGCCACGGTAAGTAACAAGGTTACCACTTGGAAATTGTTTTGGCAGAGAGCATGCCACTTCACCAATTGCGGCGCTGTACTCTTCACTACTGCTGAAACCAAACAAGGATCCACTAGAATGTTCTTCCTTTAGACCTATATCATTGTTAAATGTAGACTTCAAGATTTTATCTAAATTACTTGCCCTTCGCGTTGATAATTACTTACCCTACCTGATATCATCGGATCAGACGGGATTTGTCAAAGGAAGGCAGGGTTTTTTAAATTTGTGTAGGTTTTTCAATATTTTACGTACACATTCAAATACAACCCCGGAGGTAGCGCTGTCACTTGATGCTGAGAAAGCGTTTGACCGGGTGGAGTGGGACTATTTGTTTTATATTCATGACCAATTTGGCTTTGGCCCCAAATTTATATCCTGGGTGCGCTTGCTTTACTCTTCACCTATGGCTCGAGTAAGAACAAACTCATTATGTTCTCTGCATTTCTCACTCCACCGCGGCACAAGACAGGGTTGTCCTTTATCCCCACTTTTGTTTGCTTTATCAATAGAACCCCTGGCGATTAAACTGCGGGCAGATAAAAAAGTTAAGGCTGTCAGTAGGGTAGGAGAAGAACATAAACTGTCTTTATACGCAGATTACTTATTATTGTACATATCCAATCCCTTGAGCTCTCTCCCCCATGCTTTTACCATTTTTGATGACTTTGGCCGCATCTCTGGTTATAAATTGAATATGCATAAAAGTGAATTACTTAGAATTAACTTAAAGGCTAAAGACATTTTATTTTCTAATTTCAACTTCAAAGTTAAAATAGATTATATAACATACCTAGGTGTTAAAGTAACTCAAGCGAAAACTAAAACTGACATACAAAGATGGAATAACTTACCATTATCATTGATAGGCCGTGTCAACTCGGTTAAAATGAATATTTTGCCAAAATGTTTGTACCTTTTTCAATGTATCCCACTTTATCTACCAAAGAAGTTTTTTGTTTCTCTTGATAAACTTATATCAGCTTACATGTGGAACGGTAAACCACCACGAATCCGCAAGAAATTTATGCAAAGACCAAGGTCATCAGGTGGTCTAGCCCTACCAAATTTTCAGTACTATTACTGGGCAGCAAATATACGAAATATGCTGTATTGGACTAAGGATGTGACTCCCTCTTGGGTTACTATTGAGAAAAATTACTGTGGAAATACCTCTGCCAGCATTGTTAACTACATCACTCCCTTTAGAAATTCACCATTTCGAATGTAACCCCCTGCTTTATGATTTGCTGAGAATATTGGTACAGTGTAGGAAAAAATTTGGCCTGCATGTCAATAAAGGCTCCTTTGTATTCAAACCATGCATTTCCACCGTCTCTGGTTGATTCGGCTTTTAAAATCTGGAACAACAAAGGGTTACACTCATTTAAAGATCTTTTTATTGACAATGTTTTTGCCTCATTCCTACAACTAACCGAAAATTTTAATATACCTAAAACACATTTTTTCCGTTATCTACAGTTACGTCATTTTATGAATAACAAATACCCTTCCTTTCCTAATCTACCTGCAGCTTCAACTATGGACAACATACTAGAGGTAAATGTTTCTAAAAAGGGAAGCATTCGAGAAATGTATAATATTTTGTGTGATTTACAGTCCCCATCTTTGACCATTATTAAATTACATTGGGAAAAGGATCTAGCACTAAACATAACAGATGAGCTCTGGGGGACCATGCTTCGAAGGGTTCACTCCTCTTCAGTTTGTGCCAAACATGGACTTATTCAATTTAAGGTCCTTCACCGATTACACCTTTCTAAGGAGAAACTAGCTACATTTTGTCCGGGCACAGATCCTTTGTGTAATCGTTGCAAGTCTGATTCTGGTTCACTCAAACATACCTTTTGGTCATGCCCTAATATTTGTAATTATTGGACATCTATTTTTAAAACGCTTTCAGATGCTTACAGCGTTGTATCCAATGCCCTGACGGCGCTCTTTGGGGTGTTGCCTCCAGGAGTAACTATCCCAAATTACTCCTTACGTGCTGTGGCCTTTGCATCCCTGATGGCACGACGTCTTATTCTTTTTAAATGGAAAGACGAGTCCTCTCCTACACATTCCCATTGGATCACTGATCTTATGCACTTTCTGCATATAGAAAAAAATGAGGTATCCACTTTCTGGCTCAATTGCTAAATTTGAACGAACGAATTTGATTCCTAAAATACATGGGAGATATGAAAATGGTTGGCATACCTTGATATATATATAGTAAAATCTGTAACTGTAATTTTACCTTGATATTACAGTATGGGAATCTTTTTTTTTTTTTCTGTTTTGTTTTGTTTTTTCAGTCAATCTATGCACTGTATTTTTATTATTATTTTTTTTTTATGTTTGAAAGAAAAAAGGCATGTCATTCTGTGTCTGGTACACACAATATGTGAATTGTTATATTGAAAATGCATAAATAAAATTATTAGAAAAAAAAGCATCATAATCAAAAACAGTCAATCCGTGTAGTTTTTGAGTGACTTAATCCCGATGCCACTGAACGGTGGAACGAGCTTAATCATTTGAACAGAGACTTGAAAAACCAAATTTTAGATTTGGGGTGTCGATCTCGTGTTGATCATGACCCAAAACAATGACATTGGATTTCTTTCTTAGTAAAGTTAGAAATATTTAGAAACATTTTAGAAGAGAATAGAAAAAAACCACATGGTAAAATACGATTTAAAATTATGTATAACATAGTAGCCATATTAACAGATTGCTGTCAATGCTGTGAGTGAATCATAATCATCCCACATCAGCTCAAAGGCACAAAAACGTTAAAAGTTGTACTTTTTTGCGAGTTAAGGTTCTGTTTATTTCGTTATCATTGTATAATTACGATGGAAAAGTAACAGTAGCTAAATCTATTTCAAATCAAAAGACTAAATCTTTTGTGCATTGTCCTTGTTTGTTAACTAAAGGTAAAGGTGCACTTTATTCAATCCTCTGCATTTGACCCATTCTGATGCCACGAAGGCTTACGTCAGGAGCAGTGGTCGCCGTAGTAACAGCGCCCGGGAACCCATCTCCAGGTGTTGATGCTCGGCTTGGTCAGGACCAGAGCTGGAGGATTTAACCTATTGTGCATGTTTTTAGTGGTGGGGGAAACCGGAGTACCTGGAGGAAACCTACCCAGGCACAGGGAGAACATTCAAACTCCACTCAGAAAGACCCTGTTCCGACCGGGATTCGAACCCAGGACCTTCTTGCTGAGAGGCAAGAGTCCGATTCACTCAGCCACCGAGTCAATAAAATAGTGTCTCAAAAACAATAGTAAGGTCTGTATAATATATCGAGTTGATATGGATAATGCCTCTTGTCGTTGTACGTCATTGAAAAGTGCAATATTCATATTTCATAAAACATTCAAACCCACTCTTGCATCTCATTCGTATTAGAAAATAAAATAATACTACCTTCTGCAGAGGCCAGCAGAACAAAAACTGTGACCAGCGCGATGAGCCTGAGGCAAGTCATCTATAAACACAAATAATACAAAATAAACTTCATGGAACGGTACAGTAGATAAAGTCCATAAGAAACATTAATTATCACCTTGAGTCGTTCCGTGGCGTTTAGTTAACCACTCGCTCCACAGACGCAGAATGACAGCTGCTCATCAACTCTGTCTCTTTATATACACTAATAATTGCGCAACTTTACATCTGCGGGGGTTTCCATCAAATGTCCAAGATGTTTTCTTTATTACCGCTGATGGAAGCAATGAGAACAAACCAGATCTGCAACTGTCCAATGTAGAAGGAAATGCATTTATTTACCTTGTGTTGCTACTTCCAGATTTTTATACTGTTTCTAGGGTTGGGTTTAAATCATTTGTATAAATCCGTGTCACAGATACAGATACAAATCCAGGGACTTTTTTGTTGTATTGGAGAGAAATTAAGAGAAATGTCTTGTATGTATTTTATGACAGAAAATAGTGGAACAATGCAGACTTCTACACTAGTTCCCCACCTGGTTTCACAAATGCCCCCTTTAGCTCTGTAGCCTGTCTTTCCTGTACCTAATCTATATTTCAATCTGGAGAGACTCAGAAGACAAAATGCAGTTTGAATGTTTTTTTGATAGGTAGTTTGGCGTCCTAGGCCCCCGTGCGGCAAATTGGGTCAGCGAGGCTCCTGCTGAGTGCGCGCACGTTCCCCCTGAGGCCTAGGAACTGGTGGTGGCATTAGGGCAGAAGGAAAGAGCGCACGCTCGAGAAAGGAGAGAGAGGCGGAGGAGGGGAGGCGGTGGATGGCGAGGCTTGAGAAGGCCGTGAAGTGGGAGTCTTCGCTTTTAAGCTGCTTGCCTGGCCTGCATAGGTTGGCTGGAAATGGGCGTTTGCTGTGCAATAGCAGTCAGTCTTCCAGAGTGAATTTCCGCAAAGCTGCATTTCAATCTGGAGAGACTGAGAAGACAAAATGCAGTTTGAATGTTTTATTGATAGGTAGTTTGGCCTCCTAGGTAGGGATGTAAATCGGTGACCGTTTAACCGGTGGTTGACCGTCACAGCGTTAACCGGTCAAAGCTGTCGGTTAAAAAAGAGAAAAAGGGGAGAGGGGAGGTCTTTTCATGACGCTATTTTAAGCCCAATTTGCACGATGAGACGAGCGGGTCCGTATCTAGCTGTGTGCGCCAATGTATCAGTAAACTCCGGGCCGACTCTCACGCCATACGCCCCACATATGCACACACACACACACGCTCGCACAGACACATTAGCACACACACACTTTCGATACGTAACATCCACACGCACCATCTCTCCCCTCTGTTACCCCCTATGTGTCATGCAGCCCAAAGAATCCTCGCAAATACGCGGCTTCAGTCAAATCACATGGACCATGTTTGTGCTGATGGTCCTTGGCATCAGCTCCACACACATCACTTGTATTTAAACTTTAGCGGAGACCTGTGAGACGCGTCACTCGCTGCTCTGACCATGTGAACGAGCCGTCTTTTGCATAAAAAAGCTTTAACCCGCAGCACAGCAAAATGGGAAGATTCAAACAGCAGTTCTCTGTGTGCAAAGGTGCCGGAGCTGTTGCGGGTTTTGGCGTTGCTGTCTCAGCTCTGATCCAGTAGAACGTAGCTCTTGTGAAAAGTATGCGGCTCGAAAATGGCTGTTATTTCAAAGAACGTGGACTATTTTAAACTACGCGGTTAACCGGTTTCAACCGGTTAATGAGGCTCGGTGGTCGGTCATGAAAATTCATAGTTTTTTACATCCCTAGTCCTAGGCCCCCGTGCGGCACTTTGGGTCATGGCTCCCACTGAGTGCGCGCACGTTCCCCCAAAAGGCCGTGATTTTGTTCTGGGTTTGGCAGGACGAATTATACGTGCGTGAGAATTAGATCAGCAAGGCAACACTATTAATAAAGGCACCACTATAAATTAAGGCAACACTATTAATAATAATAAAGGCAACACTATTAATAAAGGATCAGCTGTTGCCACCACTAGGAAGTTTTGCGAGTGCTTGCGAGGATGGTTTTGCAAGAGCTTACAGGGATGCCAAGGAGCGCTGGGCTGCCAGTACAGTCGTAGTGTGTTGCCTGATGTATACGAAGAGGGCAGAGGATGAGCAGCGCCCCAGCTGTGGAGGGCAGAAGGGGAACCCAGCAACGCTGCGCGCGTAGCAGCGCCTGTCCTGAGGGAGTGAGATGTGTAGAGATCGGGAGACAGATTACGTAGTAGCAGTTGTGGGTGCCTTTGACGAGGAGTTTGAGTGACGGCTCTGAGAATAGAGAGGGGAGAACAGGGTTGTAGCAGCGGGTCTGAGATTGGATTCCAGCGAGCAGGGTAGGTATAGGAGATATTGAAGGAGATTGTCTGCACGGTGAAAGCACTGATTGCGTGAATGGCAGTCAAGGTAAAGGAATGTTGTGTGAGTAGTAGAAGTGGGAGTAGACTTTCCAGCAAAGCTGTATGTTTTGAGCGTATTATCCGAAAGACCCATTTTTGTGTACAAAGAAGCATAGGAGAAGAGAAGTCCAAGGCGAGGTACTCCATGACGAGGGTCTCGCATGGCATTATGTAGCCTAGGCGCCGGAATTCTTGGAATTTAAAGTGAGAGAGACAGTCAGTAGGCAGTTAAGGTGACCAGAGATGTGTCGTGCAGTGATGATGGAGTTATTTAAGACTGAGAGCCATGTGATTCGTCGGAGAAGGGAGCAGGAAGCATCTTGAGGAGAGGAAGAAGGACCTTTATTTCGGATTTCTTCGACGTCCGGCTTGTTGACATCACGGAGATCCTTTTTCTCTGCAACGTGGGACTCCCGGTGCACAGGCCACGACTACTGGACCTTTGTGGAGGGCAGGGGAGAAGCTCCGAGGGAAATTTTTTGGGCCGCAGCCCGGTGAACCACTGGTTCTGGTAGACCCCCCAAAACCCAAGGACGAGGCAGCGTCCGAGAAGAAGAGCAGGGCAACGGAGGAACGGACGGCATCACCGCAGAAAGAGACGCCGACCCAGCGTCCCAGCACGGGCCAGGGCGGCACCCGGCGTCCAGGGAAGACGGCGTCCAGGTGAGAAGGGCCGAAACCAGTGAGGGCGAGGAACCTGGAAACAAAAGAACGGCCCTGTGGAACAAACTGGACTGCAAGATTGAGGTGCCCGAGCAGGGAGAGCAGCTGACGCATCGACACCGACGGGGCCTGGACACGTCCCGCGCCAGAAGCCGTGCGGCCCGTGGGGATCGTGGAAGGCAGACGGGAGGTCACGGGACGCGAGGGACGCCGACGTTAGGAGGAAGATGATGAACGGCCAATCGGGATGGACAAGGCCCGGATGAAAGCCCCCCGGAACGGCCGCCTCACGGAGCGCGCCGGGGGCACAGGAGCCGGGATGGGCCCCACAGCACAGAGCGACAAAGGAACCAGGCTCAAAGGACAGCGCGGCTAGGAAATCAGGAGACACCAGCTACAGAGACCCCCCCCCCACAGTCGAAATTAAAGTTGAGACCACATTTTCCGAGCAAGATGAACCAGAGTCAGCGCAATCCCTTACGTGTCCAGGAGCTCAAGATCTTCCAGTGGACCCCAAAACGCAGTCCGTTGACAATGTGCAAGACAGTTTGCGCCAGTACGAAGGCGAAACATTACACCAATCCAAGCCTTATCACATTCTCCGAGATCAGTCCATAAACGATGCAACCAGCGCTCGAGGCATTAACAGCCAGCTTGCAGTCCAGAGCGCGGGGTCAAAAACAGCCAGCCTGCAGCCCAACAAACAGAGTTAAAACAAACAGCCTGCTGACCAATGTGAGGGATTAAAACTGAGGCCTGCTGACCAATGTGAGGGATTAAAACTGAGAGCTTGCAGTCCAATGTGAGGGATTTAAACTGAGAGCTTGCAGTCCAATGTGAGGGACTTAAACTGAGAGCCTGCAGTCCAATGTGAGGGATTAAAACTGAGAGCCTGCAGTCCAAAGTGAGGGATTTAAACTGAGCGCCTGCTGTCCAAAGTGAGGGATTAAAACTGAGAGCTTGCAGTCCAAAATGAGGGATTTTAACTGAGAGCCTGCAGTCCAAAGTGAGGGATTTAAACTGAGAGCTTGCACACCAATGCGCGGGGCCAACTGAGGCTGCAGTACAAAGCGCTGGGCCAAAACTGAGCCTGCAGTCCAATGTGAGGGGAATAAACCATCCGCAGGTCAGCACACTTACCCCACAGACGGCAAAAGACAAGGGAAAACAACGGGACGACACCGTACCGGCATGAGGAGTCAGGGGCGATGAGACGAGCAGCGGCGAACCTGCAGAAAGAGCCCGCAAAAGAGGAGAGCGGCAAAGACCCACGGACCACAGCCGAGACCCGCAGCAGGAGCACAGATGCGGAGGAGGAGCAGACCACAAGCAGCAAGACTAAGGACAGCAGGGACACACGCAACGAGCAAAGCTTGAGTAGACAAAAGCGATTCCTCCAGAACGACTCCTTGCGAGGCTTGAGAAGACTGTGAAGTGGGAGTCTCCGCTTTTAAGCTACTTGCCTGGCTTGCATAGGTTGGCTGGACATGTGCGTTTGCTGTGCAATAGTCCGAGGATGTGTGGCAGGCCTGGAGGGGATAGGCTTTAGCAGTCAGTCTTCCAGAGTGAATTTCCGCGAAGCTGCATAATAGGACTGGGCTAAAGGCTTTTTGGCTTGTTGTATCTTCTTCTCAGCAGAAGATGGGGTTCCTCGCACAAACCAGTATGTAGTGTTGGAGAAGGAATGCACTCTGAGTTATGTATTAAAGAAAGAGTTTAATGGAATAATCAGCCTGGGTCAGCTCCGAAAATGAGGATGGTAAGAACGACAAAGAACACACTAAGCACAGGGCTCTTGTGGATGCGCCAGGATACGGGATGTAGTAAATACATGTGTCATTCAATAATCTTGTAGACTAGTCCTGGTTAAACTCCATATCTCTGAGTCTGTCTTCCCTGAGGGTCTACAGGCTCTTATTGTCCTTCCAGATGTCCCCATTGACCCCAGAGAAGGGTCGGTAGAGTCAGCTGTCTCTCCAATTGGGCCCGAATGTTCCGAACACTATTTTATACATTGAAGATACATGAAAATGTGTAGGAGTGATTTCGGTCCAAAACTCGTGTTTGGACTGAAACACGGATCCCTCAGTCACTTCACTCTGCTCTCAGGCGTATTTTAAAAAATTCTTGTATCCTACAGTTTTTATCAAATCCAAGGTGGAACTTTTACAGGGACCTTGCTCTCCCTCGGTCCTCTCAGTGGCCCTCTCAGTAGTCCTCTCAGTGGTCCTCTCAGTGGTCCTCCCTGTGGTCCTCTCTGTGGTCCTCTATGTGGTCCTCTCAGTGGTCCTCTCTGTTGTCCTCTCGGTGGTCCTCTGTGGTCCTCTCAGTGGTCCTCCCTGTGGTCCTCTCAGTGGCCGTGTCTCCACTGCAGTAGGACCACTCCATGATGTCATGAGTTTCGATTGCCACATTAGAGACACTCATTACGCCAAGCACATTTGTTTATTTTACGGTCGTAACCGCTCCGGTTTTGTTTGTGTTTTTTTTATAGTCCTGCTTCAGTTTTTTCAAACATTTCACGGCTTGTTTTAGAGTGCGATGAATCTCCAGCGCACTGGACCAGCTCTATACTCTCCATCGGTTACTCGAGGGTCCACATGTGCTTTGGAGAAGGCGTTCAGAGGAGTCCTTTGGGGCTTCTCCGGGAGTACGGGGTCCAGGGTCCTCTTCTGACGGCCGTCCGGTCCCTGTATGACCGGAGCCAGAGCTGCATTTGCATTGCCAGCAGTAAGTCAGACCGGTTCCTGGTGCATGTTGGCCTCCGACAAGGCTGCCCTTTGTCACAGGTTCTGTTCACTGTCTTTATGGACCGAATTTCTAGGCGCAACCAGGGGTCGGAGGGGATCCGGTTCGGAGACCACAGGATTTAATCTCTGCTGTTTGCAGACAATGTTGTCCTGCTGGCTCCAACGAACCAGGACCTGCAACATGCACTGGGACGGTTTGCAGCCGAGTGTGAAGCGGCTGGGATGAGAATCAGCACCTCCAAATCCAAGGCCATGGTGCTTGACCGAAAAAATGTGCCTTGCCCTCTCCGGGTGGGTGGAGAGGTCCTTCCTCAAGTGGAGGAGTTCAAGTATCTCAGGGTCTTGTTCACGAGTGAGGGAAGAATGGAGCGTGAGATTGACAGGCGGATCGGTGCAGCGTGCGCAGTGATGCGGTTGCTGTATCGGACCGTTGTGGTGAAGAGGGAGCTGAGCCGAAAGGCAAAGCTCTCAGTTTACCGGTCAATCTTCGTTCCCTCCCTCACCAAGCGGTCAAAATGAGCTTCCTCTGCAGAGTGGCTGGGCGCTCCTTAGAGATAGGGTGAGGAGCTCAGTCACATGGATGGAGCTCGGAGTAGAGCCGCTGCTCCTTCATGTTGAGATGAAGCAGTTGAGGTGGCTCGGGCATCTGTTCCGGATGCCACTGGACGCCTCCCTGGGGATGCCCCAGGGAAGACCCAGGACACTATGTCTCTCAGCTGGCCTGGGAACGTCTTGGGGTCCTCCCGGACGAGCTGGAGGAAGTGTGTGTGGATAGGGAAGTCTGGGCGTCTCTGCTTAGACTGCTGCCCCCGCGACCCGGAAACGGAGGAAGCAGAAAAAAATGGAACAAAAACAAAGACTTGGATCAAGTTAACTTTATGTAGAGGCTGACATGAACAGTTTCAGAGATGTTTCCATGAAAGTAAATGGGAGCCAAATGTGTACTAATGTGAGGAAAACCTGTAACATTGACCAGAGTCAAAAAGAGCAATATTATGCTCCCATTGACTCTGTGTCTTGTGTGTAGTTCTACAGTGGTTTACTCTAGTTCTACACATTCCCATGATTAAATCCATCAATGTTGAGATTTTAAAGGTGTCTGCCTGTTTTAAATGATTGCTTGCTGCGAAACCAATTTCCCCCAATAAATAAATAATAAGTATTCTTGTATTGCCGTAAAGATTCACTGTGCTTATTTCGGAGGACTTTACAAAACCGTTGAATTCGCCAACACAGATTGGAGAATCAAACAGTTCAAACAAAAGAAATGCAATGATATAAAACACATAGAGCCATTGGTCCATAAGGGGCAGAGACCAAAGTCCATAAATATTAAATTTGATGATCTTGGATCATCACCACTGTCCATTGACCGTCCTGCGTCTACAAATTCAAGGCAATTTTGAATCCAGCCGTAGAAGAGATTTCTCCGTCACACAAGCAGAGTAATGATAACTCCATCGTCTCTTCCCTGCCACAACATCTCTCCTTCGAACGCCACTTTCCCGTGCTTCCTGGCTCGCATCAGAATCCCCACAACTTTGTCCGAAATGCGAACGTATCTGTCGAACAACTCTCCGAACGTCACACGTGTCTTTCCGTCTCCGTCGGGCTTCGCCATCGTCCGAATGATCAGACACATGTCGGCGATCTCGCGGTGGATGTGCTGCTCGGCGCGTTTGGCTCGCTCCGCCGTCTTGGTGCCCTCCTTTGGCCTGCCGTAGCCCTCTTGGCCCCGCACCAGCCGCGTGGACATGGAGTAGTTGTAGTCAAAGTATTCACTGAACGGGTTGAGTCTTTGGTTGACCGTGTGCTCTGAGGCCCAGTCCTGCCACCGGCTCTTCAGGCTTCCCACCGCGCTGTAGCGTTTGGAGAGAGCGTTGATCTTGTTGGCGTCGTCTGACTCTTTTTTCAATCTAAAAAAGAGAGAGAGAGTTGAAAATATATAAATTAAGTAAGTACATTCTGTGAAATTTCATAACACTTTGAAGCAACTATGGTTAAAGTTCTAACTTCATCAGCAGATTCCACGGTGCCATGTAGCTTGGCCTTCAGAAGTCAAAACCTCAAATGGAAAAGTACAGGCTTCTGCATATGTAAGAATGAAGTTAGAACTTTAACCATAGTTGCTTCAAAGTGTAATGAAATCTCACAGTTCTTAATGATATAGTCACAAAGCACCATACAATTGTTGTGGGGATTTGTCTCTCACTCCACAAAGAGATGGGAGCGAGATTGCAAGTACAGGAGGCGCATGCTAGAATTAATGTACATGTTTTTAGTGGTAGGGGAAACCGGAGAACCCGGAGGAAACCTACGCAGACACAGGGAGAACATGCAAACCCCACTCAGAAAGTCCCTGTTCCAACCAGAATTCAATTCCAGGACCTTCTTGCTGAGAAGCTAGAGTGTCAACCCAGAATCTTGAGTAGTGCAGGGAAATACTTGTTTTGTTTTCCCAATTGTAGCTCCATGTGGATAATTTGTCTGAAATGTCTTATGTGTATTTTAAGGTCGCATATGTACGATTTTTGTCTTTTTCAAACCCATGCCTGAAGCTGCCATGGACACAGCCAAGATTGAAGTTCTTTGAGTTGAGTTGATAAGTGCTGCTTCTACAATGGTCTTTGTATTGTGTTTGTTTTTACGTAGTGTTTGTGCGTATTGTCTTATCTGTTGTTTGTCTGTGGCTGTGTGTGTGACTTGTGTATTTTAACTGTTTGACAGAGCAAACAGACGATAAGGACCCCCTTTGAAAAATCATCCACTCAAGATTCATCCCACGGGGCAATCCTTAATACATGAATACATGTAGCATCTGTTCCCTCAGTGTCATATCTGTGCCCTTCATGGGAGACCAGAAAATACACAATTTTTTGAAACTGGATGGAATTAGGATCTTGCTCTGTCCTCTCCAAGAACAGACCTGGTTTCTCAGTACCTCCAGGAACCGTGCACCTCTTTTGAAATGTCCTTAAACCTTAATATATTTATCTTACACACAGTTATAACTTCGGAACAAGAAACACGTATAGATTCGTACAATTATGTGCACAACGAATCCGACGTACAAAGATGGAGAAGAAGTCGTTCTAAACGGCTTAGACAAAGTATTGGTCACAGGCACAACCAACAGACAATTTTTTGTGGCCCTTGAAATTATTTGCAAATTTTAAAGTAAGTTGCAGCATTGATGGTAAAAGAATACTATGGCATGTTATACTTAATTTTAAAGTCTATTTGCTCAGGAAAGCAACCATGTAATTGCTTTTATTCTAAAATGTAAACTAACATGTAATTAAAGTTAAGTTATGCCCAAAATGTATTTTTTTATTGAACAAACTATGGCCCACTGGTGGTTGAATCTAAACCTACAAGAAAATAATTACAAAAATATGTAAAAATAAATAAATAAAGATAATAAAAGTAATTTTGGCTCCAACCAGCTCAGTTTTTGAACTTTGCCCCCGACCAAAATGACATCCCTGTTTTTATAGGTCTGCATCAAAGAGCAGATATTGAACATCTATTTCTAAACTGTGTCACACTTGTTAGCAGGTCATTGTTCACGTCCCCGATGGTTTTTTATGTTTCATTTCTTAAAAAATGAAACCAACTTTGAGAGGTTAGACTTCCAAAAGTGCAATGGACATGATGTCACAATCCTGTGAGAACCATTATAGAAGACAGTAAGTAATGTTTATTTATAGAGCACATTTAATTACATTTTATTTTATGGTTCTCAGACGAGTGTCAAAACAGAAACCAGAATTAGTGCTGCTTTATTTTGTCAAATGGAGAGATTTTAATTGGTTTCAGTTTGTTCACTTATCTTGAGTTGTAAGCTCCTCATTCCTACTCTACTACTTCCCATTCTGTACCCGGTGATGCAACACTGACATTTCCCCACTGTGGAACCAATGAAGGATCTCTTCATCTTAATGTTAATGAATATGTAATTTGGTTTGACAATCTGTTTTTTGTGAATATCTCTGGCTTGGCAAAAGTTTACAACAAATAGTATTTAAAGTTGTAATACGTAAGATTTCCATGTCTAGTCATCATTAAAGGGCCCTAATCTGTCAACTCATCATTAAAGAGCCCTAATCTGTCAACTCATCATTAAAGGGCCCTAATTTGTCAAAAGGCATTAATAAAACAAGCTCTTTTCCAATACCTATAACTGATAACAGTAGTTCAGAGATGGAAAAACAAAAAAATACCCTTTTGCATGGAAAATAAAGACAGGGTGAAATCCGAGGCACTCTGATAAAAGTCCTTTAATGCAGAAGGGACCCTTCTGCATTAAAGGACTTTATCAGAGTGCCTCGGATTTCACCCTGTCTTTATTTTCCATGCAAAAGGGTATTTTTTGTTTTTCCATATCTTTTCTCTTCCTGAAGAGCACCTGATCTCAAATACTTTTTTTGGACCCTGCAGCACTCATTCCTCCTGTTCTGAGTAGTTCAGAGATATTTGGATTTCGAAATTGGATTAACAGCTTGTAAATCTGTTTATTGTTTTCTATGTCCCGCCCTCTACCGTGATCCGGGCACCAGAACTCACCACGTGGAGCTAATCTCACTGGTAAAGTACCATGTGGCGCAGAACTAAAAAAGGTCTCGTTATGATTCTCAAATTATTAACGACAAAACAAGGAATAAAACCAGGATTTCTATCTTTGTGGAAAAGGTGTTGGTTATAGTATTGGTTACTATATTTCCCGGACCCCTGAGTGTGGTACAATGTGTTCTGTTTAAGTGTTCATGTCCTAGTGAGCTGTGTCTGTCAGTAAAAAAAAAAAATATATATAATTCATGAAAATCCATCATTGCCACGCCCATATGAAGCCATAATATGCAATAACCTTCCTTATAACTTATCTAATTTACATAAAACCTCTTTCTTTTCACTTTTAAGTTATTCAGAAATTAAGATATCCAATTTAAGCCTTTTAGGACTAAAAACTCTGGGGCCTATAGGGTTAAATAAGCTAAAAAATGGTAAAGAAAGACATTGGAAATCTCCAAAACACATGTTTTATCAATTATCAGTGATTGGCAGCAAGTTCACGCCGAGGTAAAGGGGTTTATAAGGCCATGTCCACACGTAGCCGGGTATTTTTAAAACCAAATATTTCCCCCCTTCGTTCATATAATAATTTTCATCCGCACATAACCGAACATCTGCGTTTTCAATCACATTCATAACATTCCAAACATTTGCGTCAAAACATAGAAGTGGGCGGAGCTTTGCTGACGCCGGTGCCTCTGTAGCGGCACTTACAGTCATAGTGGAAACTCAAGATAAAGATACGTTCACAAGCACTGACCCCGTCCTAAGCCCTGGTTTAGTCCTGGTTTAGTCCTGGTTTAGTCCTGGTTAAGCTCCTGTTTTGGTTGTTTTGGAGCGTGAGTCCCCGTGATCCCTTTGCTGCTCTCTGATGTGGAGGATGTGAACCGCTCGCAGCAGCGAACAGTTTTTAAGGCGGTAAGATCCATGCTTCAGTGATCAGAGGTCGCACGTTTTGTTTGTTGTTGTTTTGGAGCATACTGGGGCGTGCGAAAACACAAAACTCTGGTTATCTCTGTCTACACGCAAATCCATAAACAAAGTGTTCAAAAATCTTTTATATATTTTTTTAATATATTCGTTTATGATGCGTTGTCATGTGAATGACAGGTGCAAACAAAGACAAATATCTGCGGTTTAGCAGAGACCCGGCTACGTGTGGACGGGGCCTTGGATATGATGACATAACCTTAGCCTCAGTGAGGAATGTCAGTGCATGACAGATAAGGAGTATGAACGTGCCAGTAAAACTGAACCAGGAACTTTGCACAGGCTATTTTAGTTTGCACGTTTTTCTTCTGGATGGTTGATTCATTGTTTGACTGGAAGGACAAACATTATTAAAGCTGGAGTTTACCGGCACCGTATGATTCCTGTAAATAATGCCTTATCCTCGTGCCAAGAGTAATACACACTGGTTTTATGTTTTAGGTGTTGGCTTCACTATCCTATTATTTCTATTATCTCTGAAGTATCAAATGTTTCTTAACTACACACAATTGATGTATAGTATGTGATTACCAACCACAGTGAGGGACATGACACACTAAAGTAATGTTAGTATTGTTTATAATTAATAGTAATGTTAGTAATGTTTAAAAGTAATGTAACACTATCATTTTACTTCTACCTCCTCCTGCTGCAGACCTGTGCCTCTGCTTCAGTTGAGATCTGTTCACCTCAGTGCTGCAATCAGTCTGCATTCAAACAGGACTGCTTCCTCACATCTTCACCTCTACATGTACAGTATATCATCGGGGTCTAGACCATGCGGAATTTCCTTTCTGTAAGTGATGTCTGTAAGATTAGAATTACTGTGCACTGTTCCTTTCAAATAAAGACCAAGCTAACAAACTGAAGCCAAACCGTATGTTTAGAATGTTCACACTGATTCTGATATCAACTGTATCGACTACAGTCTACCCACGTGTCTATTATATGGCGAGTTGGTTGCAGGGTCATGCATGCATTGTGGTCATTGCAAACGGTTCAAAGGCACCCAAAAAAGCCACTCTGACAAAATGTGGGATGAATCCAGACACCTGGGAGACAGTGTGCACCGACCGCACACATGTCTGTCAGTAAAAAAAATATATATATATAATTCATGAAAATCCATCATTGCCACGCCCATATGAAGCCATAATATGCAATAACCTTCCTTATAACTTATCTAATTTACATAAAACCTCTTTCTTTTCACTTTTAAGTTATTCAGAAATTAAGATATCCAATTTAAGCCTTTTAGGACTAAAAACTCTGGGGCCTATAGGGTTAAATAAGCTAAAAAATGGTAAAGAAAGACATTGGAAATCTCCAAAACACATGTTTTATCAATTATCAGTGATTGGCAGCAAGTTCACGCCGAGGTAAAGGGGTTTATAAGGCCATGTCCACACGTAGCCGGGTATTTTTAAAACCAAATATTTCCCCCCTTCGTTCATATAATAATTTTCATCCGCACATAACCGAACATCTGCGTTTTCAATCACATTCATAACATTCCAAACATTTGCGTCAAAACATAGAAGTGGGCGGAGCTTTGCTGACGCCGGTGCCTCTGTAGCGGCACTTACAGTCATAGTGGAAACTCAAGATAAAGATACGTTCACAAGCACTGACCCCGTCCTAAGCCCTGGTTTAGTCCTGGTTTAGTCCTGGTTTAGTCCTGGTTTAGCTCCTGTTTTGGTTGTTTTGGAGCGTGAGTCCCCGTGATCCCTTTGCTGCTCTCTGATGTGGAGGATGTGAACCGCTCGCAGCAGCGAACAGTTTTTAAGGCGGTAAGATCCATGCTTCAGTGATCAGAGGTCGCACGTTTTGTTTGTTGTTGTTTTGGAGCATACTGGGGCGTGCGAAAACACAAAACTCTGGTTATCTCTGTCTACACGCAAATCCATAAACAAAGTGTTCAAAAATCTTTTATATATTTTTTTAATATATTCGTTTATGATGCGTTGTCATGTGAATGACAGGTGCAAACAAAGACAAATATCTGCGGTTTAGCAGAGACCCGGCTACGTGTGGACGGGGCCTTGGATATGATGACATAACCTTAGCCTCAGTGAGGAATGTCAGTGCATGACAGATAAGGAGTATGAACGTGCCAGTAAAACTGAACCAGGAACTTTGCACAGGCTATTTTAGTTTGCACGTTTTTCTTCTGGATGGTTGATTCATTGTTTGACTGGAAGGACAAACATTATTAAAGCTGGAGTTTACCGGCACCGTATGATTCCTGTAAATAATGCCTTATCCTCGTGCCAAGAGTAATACACACTGGTTTTATGTTTTAGGTGTTGGCTTCACTATCCTATTATTTCTATTATCTCTGAAGTATCAAATGTTTCTTAACTACACACAATTGATGTATAGTATGTGATTACCAACCACAGTGAGGGACATGACACACTAAAGTAATGTTAGTATTGTTTATAATTAATAGTAATGTTAGTAATGTTTAAAAGTAATGTAACACTATCATTTTACTTCTACCTCCTCCTGCTGCAGACCTGTGCCTCTGCTTCAGTTGAGATCTGTTCACCTCAGTGCTGCAATCAGTCTGCATTCAAACAGGACTGCTTCCTCACATCTTCACCTCTACATGTACAGTATATCATCGGGGTCTAGACCATGCGGAATTTCCTTTCTGTAAGTGATGTCTGTAAGATTAGAATTACTGTGCACTGTTCCTTTCAAATAAAGACCAAGCTAACAAACTGAAGCCAAACCGTATGTTTAGAATGTTCACACTGATTCTGATATCAACTGTATCGACTACAGTCTACCCACGTGTCTATTATATGGCGAGTTGGTTGCAGGGTCATGCATGCATTGTGGTCATTGCAAACGGTTCAAAGGCACCCAAAAAAGCCACTCTGACAAAATGTGGGATGAATCCAGACACCTGGGAGACAGTGTGCACCGACCGCACACATGTCTGTCAGTAAAAAAAAATATATATATATAATTCATGAAAATCCATCATTGCCACGCCCATATGAAGCCATAATATGCAATAACCTTCCTTATAACTTATCTAATTTACATAAAACCTCTTTCTTTTCACTTTTAAGTTATTCAGAAATTAAGATATCCAATTTAAGCCTTTTAGGACTAAAAACTCTGGGGCCTATAGGGTTAAATAAGCTAAAAAATGGTAAAGAAAGACATTGGAAATCTCCAAAACACATGTTTTATCAATTATCAGTGATTGGCAGCAAGTTCACGCCGAGGTAAAGGGGTTTATAAGGCCATGTCCACACGTAGCCGGGTATTTTTAAAACCAAATATTTCCCCCCTTCGTTCATATAATAATTTTCATCCGCACATAACCGAACATCTGCGTTTTCAATCACATTCATAACATTCCAAACATTTGCGTCAAAACACAGAAGTGGGCGGAGCTTTGCTGACGCCGGTGCCTCTGTAGCGGCACTTACAGTCATAGTGGAAACTCAAGATAAAGATACGTTCACAAGCACTGACCCCGTCCTAAGCCCTGGTTTAGTCCTGGTTTAGTCCTGGTTTAGTCCTGGTTTAGCTCCTGTTTTGGTTGTTTTGGAGCGTGAGTCCCCGTGATCCCTTTGCTGCTCTCTGATGTGGAGGATGTGAACCGCTCGCAGCAGCGAACAGTTTTAGAATGTTTAGAATGTTCACACTGATTCTGATATCAACTGTATCGACTACAGTCTACCCACGTGTCTATTATATGGCGAGTTGGTTGCAGGGTCATGCATGCATTGTGGTCATTGCAAACGGTTCAAAGGCACCCAAAAAAGCCACTCTGACAAAATGTGGGATGAATCCAGACACCTGGGAGACAGTGTGCACCGACCGCACACATCGGAGGTCACAGATAAAACAGGTATGAATTACAGTACAGGTATGAAGAAGAGCCAATTAAAACGGCTGAGCATAAACGCCAGAGAAAGAAGCAGCGCCTCAACTATCGGCCACACTCCCTTCGCCCATTGCCCTTGCTTCTTTGGGCACCGAATCGGGTTTCTCCTGTCTCCACAAAAAGTTATCTGTATTCATTTGGAGAACAGATGCTCAGGAGGAAATGAAGGAGGATTATTATTTGTAAACATACAATTGAGTCAAACACATTCTGAGACAACTGCTCATCTGGTTGGTCCAGTCGACTTCTGGTTAATGCCAATTTGTATTTGGCACAACCTGGAAATCACGTGTTTTCAATGTTTATATATAGCTCTAAACACATTCTAGCTCTAAACATGTGACTGTACCCATGAACAGTACAGTATATATTATTTGTTTTAAATTGAGAGAAATGAACATACTGTACATTGTTCATTTTAATGCTTTTTTTCATCTAATACTCTACATTTAAAAAGTGCATCTCCCTTGAAGTTATATGTTTTGTAAACCTCCTTTGAGTGTCTAAAAAAGCGCGATATATGTTTGATGTGTTAATATTATCATTTTCAGCCATTAACTTACAACAACGACGAAGGCCTCTTAATCTTCATCACAGACTCCTCTTCCTCCTCTTCCTCCTTGTCCTCCTCTTCCTCCTCGTCCTGCTCCGTTCCTCTTGTCTCCTCCCTCTTTCTTTGATCCTTAGCTTCATATTTACAATCATCCGAATTTAAAATCTGCCCATCGTCGACTGCCCCCTCCTCCTGTTTCCAGCTTCTTGGTGTCGGTGAATTTCCCGTCTTTAAAAGTTTGTCGATCTGATCGTTTGACGGCAACAATTCTTTATCAGACACAATTGTAATACTTTTTTCCGTAGCTGCACTCGTAATAGTCTTTTCCACTTCTTTAGTCTTGATTGGTTCTTCAATTTCACCACCTCCCTTATTGTTTGAAGTCTTTGTCGAACTTTCAATCGCGACACTACCATCCAAAGTGCTACCATCTCGTTCCTTGTCATCTTCTGTCGTCTGGTCTTCCTCGATCTTCTTCGGCGTCCATGTTTTTTTAGGTTCTGTGTCCGGATCGAGCCAAGATGGCGCCCATCCGCTTGGCTCTTTGGCTTGCTTGGTCTCATTGTCGGACACCCATCGCTGCCAACTGCTCGTCAAGCCACAAACCAAGCTGACAGTTCTTAACTTCTTGATATTCTTGTTGGTGTAAGTTTTCTTTTGAGGGTTTGCATTCCCCTCTGCCATCTCAGCTCAGTTAAACAGCACAAAAAGTCTTCAAGAAATGCGATAAAAAACCTTGAATTCCGTCATGTTTTCAGGCATATCGAGGAGTTTCTTGCTGTCCGTTGCATAGAGCTGCTATCTCTAAAACAGGCAGCTCGAGCTCTTGGCGTGAAGTTGGAAAGTATGTGAGTTATCCCAGTCCAGTGCCGGCTGATCGTCTTTCCCCTGACACGGGTCACCCCTCTGGGCTTAGGTTTCATCCCACAGCTGGTAATGGACACTAAACAAGACCGTGAACCAGGCGCTAGCTGCTGAGTGCCACATTAACAAGTGCAAAGATACACCCCAAAAAAACATCCATAAAACCTAGATATTAGCACCAATTACACAGGTTTTATTCATAGCAATGCAAAGGACGATTTTGCTTGACACACTCTTGAGTCATCCATACGTTTAGCTGGTCTTGAAACCAGAGTAGTAATTGGATCTTTGCACTGTCTTCTTCTTCAAATTTGCAAAGGCTCTCGCACAAAAGTAAGTAATGTTTATTTATATAGCAGATTTTACAGACCAAGGTCACCCAAAGTACTTTACAATGTTCAGAGTCAGATATCGTTTCAATCATTCCACACACGGTGATGATGGAAGTGAGTCCAGAACACACTGGACCATCAGCTCCAACACCATCCATTCACTCTCTCATTTACATTCAGACCTATTGTGCATGTTTTCAGCGGTAGGAGAAACCGGAGCACCCGGAGGAAACCTACACAGACACGGGGAGAACATTGCTTGGTCTCATTGTCCGACACCCATCGCTGCCAACTGCTTGTCAAGCCACAAACCAAGCTGACAGTTCTTAACTTCTTGATATTCTTGTTGGTGTAAGTTTTCTCAGAAAGGCCCTGTTCCGACCGGGATTCGAACCCGGGACCTTCTTGCTGAGAAGCGAGAGTGCTATCCACTCAGCCACCGTGCCGCCAAAAATAGAACACGAGGGAAAGGGTGCACATTATAACTTAAGCAATTTCTGGAAATCGATTTCTATGTTGGACCAATATATTTCTACATAAATGGACGATGTTATCTCTTAGGAATGAACCACACCAATTTGACTTACCAACCAATCACATGTTTGCATTCCACCAATGTTATTTCAGCTCTGATTTGGAAACATCCTCAAAATAAAACTCCTCTTACCTCAAATGATCCTGTGTGAGCCTCAGACTACCTCCTTGACCTGTGCAGGCTGGGCTAAGCTGGGGAAGGCTTTTTGTAGGGAAAAGATTGTGTCGGTGGATACTGTATAAGTGAGCAAGAATTGAAACGTCTTCCCGCTTCTTAGCCACATTCACATTGAAGTTAATCATTTATTTTGCACTTCTGTCTCTGCTTGTTGTAACTAAGAGCTGTCTTTGTGTAATTTAAGCTGAGATCCATGTTCTGATACCTGCCGCTCACGTCCTCAAGGCTGAGATCGTCTTACCTTTCAAAGGCTTATGGCAATTACTGTTGACATCTATAATCATGTATGTTCTCTGCCAAACCGCAAAGAATATTGTCATATGAATTTAAGTAGGACATTAGACCTATTGTTGCTGCATGGGAACAACCAAATTGCTTGCCCAAAGAATGAGATCAGCTGGCTTGGCAGAGTGGTTAGCATCTGAAGATTTTGCACGTTCATATTTTTAAAAGCAGGCTTAAGACACACCTTTTTAGATTAGCTTTTGATTAGTATTTATTATTTTTATTGCGTTTTTTGTAAATTTATTTATGTTTTTAGATACATTTTATTTATGTTTTTAGACACATTTTATTTATGTTTTTAGACACATTTTATTTATGGTTTTAGACATATTTTATCTATGTTTTTAGACACATTTTGTCTATGTTTTTATTCATTTATTTTATCTACCCATTTACTATTGTTATTATTAATCTTAGGTAGCTGCTATTTACTTTTTAGTCTCACTTTTTAATGTTGTACTTTCTATTGTATTGTTTTACTATCCCCAGTATTTCCTCTGAAGGAGCCCTCTGCACCGGGAGCTGGGGTCTGCTGTGGCTGCGGGGGTCTGGCTCTTGGATCTAGCGGGGGTCTGGGGCCTCCTCTCTCCTCTGGGTCCTGTTTTGTTCCCTGTGGCTGCAGGCGGCTCTCTGCTCCTGGTGCAGATGGCTCTTTGGATGGCGCTTCTTCAGCTGGATACATCTGCACCCAGCCCTATTTCTTTTCATTGTTTTACCTATTTTACCTGATGTGACTTTATAGTGTGTGTGTGTACACGCATGTGGGTGTATATATAATAATACATGTGGTTTATGGGGGGGTCTGTGAGGCGGTGGGGTTTAGGGCTGGGCATATTGGATTGTCTTTAACTAAACTGCAAAGCACTTTGTGTTGCATTTTTTGTATGAAAAGCGCTTTATAAATAAAATTTGATTGATTGGTTCTCCCTGTGTGTGTGTGTGTGTGTGTGTATGTGTGTGTGTGTGTGGGTGTGTGTGTGTGTGGGTGTGTGTGTGTGTGGGTGTGTGTGGGATTCCTCCAGGTGCTCCAGTTTCCCCTACTACTTAAAAACATGTATAATAGGTGAAATACCCAGCTACGACAGTCCAACAGCCAGAGAGGGGTCCTACAGGGCGACAGGAGCTTCATTGACAGAGGCCCCAGTGGCATTGAGTGTTGGGTGAATGCAGAAGACAAACTTCTCTACAGGTACGATAAATGACTCTTTAACCGGACTATATATGGATCAATGGATTTCTGCTTTGACCACAGCGTGGGATTATTCCAAAATGGTAGTTAGAGGATTCTTGGGGCTCTCTCATTCGTATCCAGTCTTAGGCTGAGTTTACACGGAGACAATGTGGCAGTAAAACGGTATAGTTGGATGTCGGTTGCTACCAACCGTTCATACGAAGACTGTGTTCCAGGTGAAAACGTAAGTGTTCAGATCCAGCCTGCAGAGTGGGACAACTCAGATACGCTGCTCACCGGGGGCTCTCTTTCACACCCGCGAGAGGGAAAAGGTGTGAAATCCCCCTCTGCTCTGACCCCCACCTCCGCGCTGCTCCCGCACGTAAATTTGGACATGCGCAGTAGCGGAGAACAAACAAAAACAAAAATGGCACCGCGCGGACTAACTAGCTACGTGGGCTTCCAGCGCGGCACAGAGGATAATTCTACTCCTTCGTTCGTCCAAACGAGACCACACGAAGCTCTAGGTTCAGTTTTCATTTTCACAGCTGCTGTTAAAATGCAGAATGATGTTGCTACTTTCTGAGGGTCTGGCACAGGAAGTGAGTACACTGCCGAGAGGGGGGCTGGGCACGGGGCTGGGGGTCGTGTGAGTGTTGTAAAGTTTCTCTGCCCACTACTGGCCGGGCGCTAGAACTACATCGTTTTTCAACCTCATGTGAACGCTGAGAAATTTGCATTAGGAGCCAGGTCGTTTTTGTTAATAGCCTGGAAACGTCTGCGCAGCGTCTCAGTATAAACAGGGCCTTAGTCGGACGTCCTGAAGAAGGCTTTGTGCAGAGATATCCTGCTGCAATGACTCTTGGAAAATGAATTGCGACGTGGAATCAGAAATATAAGTCATCTATAGTGGGGATGCTGCTGTAGATGACTTTCAGTTGGTAACAGTAAACCTTTTGTTCACTTGTTAGGCCTTCACAGAGCTTCTCTGGGCAGAAACTGCAGTACAGTGTTCATGGTTTTACACTGGTCCAGACCAGAGCAGAGAGGATTCATGGTTTTTTTCACTGGTCCAGACCAGAGCAGAGAGGATTCATGGTTTTACACTGGTCCAGACCAGAGCAGAGAGGATTCATGGTTTTTTTCACTGGTCCAGACCAGAGCAGAGAGGATTCATGGTTTTACACTGGTCCAGACCAGAGCAGAGAGGATTCATGGTTTTACACTGGTCCAGACCAGAGCAGAGAGGATTCATGGTTTTACACTGGTCCAGACCAGAGCAGAGAGGATTCATGGTCCCAATCAAGTGGATCAGGAGAAAATCCACTGGAGGAATAACTTTTTGAAATATGCTAATGAAGCATTTAGCATTTGACTTTGGACCAGAGCAGAGAAAAAGGCTCCAAACCAAGCGGCTCCTCCTCTGCTGCTGTGACCTGAACGACTGTTTCTTTCTAATACTTTTGTTAGCTATTCTTAGAATGATCTATGTATTTGTTTTGTTTGTTTGAATGCATGACTTTCTGCTGCTACTGGACACCTACATTTATCTCACAGGGAACAGTAAAGTATCTGTCTATCTCAGGGGTCTCAAACTCATTTTGGTCCAGGGGCCAAATACAACCTAAATGGATCTCAACTGGGCCGGACCAGAACATTATCTACAAAAATACCCAAAAACAGAACAAAGTCAAACTTTTTTTACACATAAACACATTTATTTAAAACTATCTAATACTCACTAAGTGTTAACTATAAATCTGTTTCTAACTTAAGTGTAATAGTGAGTTTTTCAGCTTTAACAAAGGTACAGAGGGCAGCTTTAACAAAGGTACAGAGGGCAGCTTTAACAAAGGTACAATGGGTAGCTTTAACAAAGGTACAGTGGACAGCTTTAACAAAGGTACAGTGGGAAGCTTTAACAAAGGTACAGTGGACAGCTTTAACAAAGGTACAGTGGACAGCTTTAACAAAGGTACAGTGGGCAGCTTTAACAAAGGTACAGTGGGCAGCTTTAACAAAGGTACAGTGGGCAGCTTTAACAAAGGTACAGTGGGAAGCTTTAACAAAGGTACAGTGGACAGCTTTAACAAAGGTACAGTGGGCAGCTTTAACAAAGGTACAGTGGGCAGCTTTAACAAAGGTACAGTGGGCAGCTTTAACAAAGGTACAGCGGGCAGCTTTAACAAAGGTACAGTGGGTAGCTTTAACAAAGGTACAGTGGGCAGCTTTAACAAAGGTACAGTGGGCAGCTTTAACAAAGGTACAGTGGGCAGCTTTAACAAAGGTACAGTGGGCAGCTTTAACAAAGGTACAGTGG